GGTGTAGGGGCGTGCAGGGGGGAGCAGGGGGGGGCAGGGGGGTGCAGGCGAGTCCTGTTACAATAATTCTTACTTATATACGCTGCATTAAAGGGTTGTCACACATACACGCTCCTCCAGGTTCTCTAGCCCCTCTAGCAATAGTTTTCAGTCTAAAACTTTCATTTATCAACTTTTATAGTAATAGCATTGGCTCATTTTTACTCCTTCTAGTGTTATACAAACTTTAGTTAAAGCTAAAGATTTGTTCTCTTTTACGTTAATTCTATCATGACAATATTATTTCTATCTAGTCTTTTCTCATTGAAAAATTCTTTATTTTCATGAAAATCTTTTAACTTTACAAGGCAGTTTTACTGGTTTTTAACGCGTGAAGAAAAAATTGCAAGATTTAAAGAAAAATACATTGTTTAACTAAAAAGAGGTGGTGCTTCGTTCCAGCAATTATTTCCCTAGACTGTATTTGTCATTAACCCTCAGGATTTAGTATAGAAAAACTAAACATTTTTTAAATTAACACACTTCTATCGAAAAATAAGATATTTACGTTAAAAATGAACTGTCCTTGTCCCTTACATTGTAACTTGTCCAATAAGTTTGTTATTGTTTTGTTCCCACAAAACATCTCATCGGAGAAAATATTCTGATCAGATTATAATATCATCAAACTTAAGATTGTCCGGAAACAAAAATATTAAAATGTCGACTTGGCTTGACTGATCTGAGCTAGTTAGGATAATGAGCAACAACATGAACAAAATAATGAACGGAAACAAGAAGAACAAGAAGAACAAGAAGAACAAGAGGAAAAAGGAGAACAAGAAGAAACAGAAGAGCAAGAAGAACAAGCAAATAAATAAAACCATAAGAATAGAAAGTTCATTTGACAAGAAGAAATAAGACAATGCGAATAATGAAAAATAAACACGACGAATGAGATGAGAACGAAGTGGAAACAAGTTATAAAGAGTAATTTTATAATGAAAGAGAACAAGAGGAACATAAATAGTTATGGATTGTTATTTATTATTATCGATCCTGCATCATGAAGCTAAATAATCTCAACATATTTATGAATTAAATTAAAGGGTAAGTCTAACAAAATGTATCTAATTAAAGGGAGGATGTACGTAGAATGGTATTATCAAGGTGCTAGAATGACCACTAGGCTCGTGTAAGTAGGAAATAGGATTTCCTGTACCAGGGAGAAAAGAGGGATGGAGAGGGAGGGAAGGAGAGGGATGGAGAGGGAGGGAAGGGGTAAAAAGAAGATAGGGATGTAGGGAGAGAGAGGGGGGAGGAGAAGTGGGGAGGTATTAAGAAGAGAGGGATGTAGGGAGAGGGGGGAATACGGGGAGGGGGAGAAATATGGGGAGGGGGACGGGAAGAGTGAGGGAGGTAACAAAAAGAAATGGATGTAAGAGAGAGAAAATAGATAAGAGAGGCGGAGGGAGAGGTGAAGGATGGAGAAAAGGGAGAGGGGAGCGAAGGAAAAGGAAGAGAGAAGAGAGGGAGCGACGGAGATAGAAGGATAGAGAGGGAGATGATAGAATTAAGAGAGGGATTGAGAAGGGATAAACGAGATTGCCTGAGTTAAAGGAAAATGAAAAGAATGAATGGATGTGAGAAGGTAGAGAAGGTAGAGAAGGTATAAACGAGATTGCCTGAGTTAAAGGAAAAGGATGAATAGATGTGAGAAGGTAGAGAAGGTAGAGAAGGGATAAACGAGATTGCCTGAGTTAAAGGAAAAGGATGAATAGATGTGAGAAGGTAGAGAAGGTAGAGAAGGTATAAACGAGATTGCCTGAGNAATGATGGAGGGGGGGGAGACAAGGGTGAGGATAAGGGGAGGCAGGAAGGACAGATGGATGTGAATTGTCAAGCATTAATCAACAAATCACAATAATAACTTATTGATAAAATCATCTATTTATTTAATATCATATCTATATAAAAATCTACTAACTTAAGTGTAGTATGGTTGAAATATCGAAGGTTTACAAAATCAGGTTGCAAAGATATAGGAAATAGGGATTAGAAAATATAAGTTTGTGGCAAATACTATATTAATTAATGGAATCTTACCATGTTTGCCTCTGTGGATTAAATACTATAGCCGGCATTTTCATTAAGATTGACCCCCATCAATTTTATTATTCTTATCAATATGATCTAGCCACCCAGACTCCTTTATCAGATTTAACTATCCAAACGACTTCTTACGCATCATTAATGTCATTCATCCTAGCGCAATAATGGAATATTGCCGCACACCATTATCTTCTGGAATTTCCCGGATTCTCTGACGGGCGCCTGGGTTCGTGGATTACATGAATTACTAGTTCTACAGACCTAGATAATTTGATACCTAGGTGTAGCCAGGCCTTTACTTATACTGCCTTTGTTTACTAGATACTTACTGTACTGTCCGTCAGTAAACAATAGAGATGGATGGATAGATAGATAGATGGGTAGATAGATAGATAGATAGATGGATAGATGGATAGATGGAAGAATAGATGACTTGAAGAATAACCCATTGAACGCATGTTAATTGATGAATCATAGATATATTAAGAGATTAATAAATAAATAGATAAGAAATTAAGGAGGTAAAATTAGTTTTCATTGGAGGATGGAGAAGGATGTTAATATCTCTAGTTGAAGGATGGAGATTAAACATGAAATGAGAAGGATGTAAATATCTCTAGCTGAAGGATGGAGATTAAACATGAAATGAGAAGTATGTAAATATCTTTAGTTGAAGGATGGAGATGAAACATGAAATGAGAAGGATGTAAATATCTCTAGTTGGTAGGATGGAGATTAAACATGAAATGAGAAGGATGTTGATATCTCTAGCTGAAGGATGGAGATTAAACATGAAATGAAAAGGATGTAAATATCTCTAGTTGAAGGATTGAGATTAAACATGAAATGAGAAGGATGTAAATATCTCTAGCATGAAATGAGAAGGATGTCATGAAGGATGGAGATTAAACATGAAATGAGAAGGATGTAAATATCTCTAGTTGAAGGATGGAGATTAAAGGGATGAAATTACAACTGACTGTTTACACAGCGGGTTTATATCCACTAAGTTTAGTACTTGAAAACTTCAGTTCAGGAACCTTCACATATTTAACCTGGATAAGTGAAATTTTGGTTTCCAGGGGAAAATGAGCCCTTCCCCCCCCCACCAATGTTAAATATTTTTTACAGTTTGAAATTGTCTTTTTGAGAAACTGATTACTCTCTAATTTGCTAGCCCTTACACCTTTAGGACTTGATGTCGTAGACCTTTCATATTTTGAGTTTAAACATTTCCAAGTTGAAAAGATAAATGGATTAGAAAATTATGAGTGGAGTGTTTAATTTCTTTGTTCGCCTAAATTTCAGATTTCTTGATTAAATAAAACATTGTTTTTTATTTCTCTCACTGGTTTTATTCTGATAGATTCCTCCGCTGTTTCTATTTACTGACCGAGTATCCCTATTTTAAAAAAATGAAAAAATGAAATCTTTTACGGTACGATTTAGGTACAAGCATTATTATACCCCCCTCTTCTAGCCTTCAAGGGGCTTTCCCAAGGGGCCTCTAATAGACAAGGAGAATTGTAGAGAATGGATCTGAGATCAATGGGATTTCAAGTATTTTATCCGTTTCTGGGACACTGAATATAATTTGTCACGTTCAAGAATTTATTTTCAATATTTTTGATCTTCGTAAGGAAGTTTCTTAGTAACCCATAAATGTAAAATAATAATACTGTTGTTAATGTACTGCTCAGGCTCAGCTGTTGTTAATGTACTGCTCAGGCTCAGCTGTTGTTAATGTACTGCTCATGCTCACCTGTTGTTAATGTACTGCTCAGGCTCAGCTGTTGTTAATGTACTGCACATGTTCAGCTGCAGTTAATGTACTGCTCATGATCAGCTGTTGTTAATGTACTGCTTATGTTCAGCTGTTGTTAATGTACTGCTTATGCTCAGCTGTTGTTAATGTACTGCTCAGGCTCAGCTGTTGTTAATGTACTGCTCAGGCTCAGCTGTTTTTAATGTACTGCACATGCTCAGCTGTTGTTAATGTACTGCTCAGGCTCAGATCTTGTTAAAGTACTGCTCAGCCTCAGCTGTTAATGTACTGCTCATGTTCAGCTGTTGTTAATGTACTGCTCAGGCTCAGCTGTTGTTAATGTACTACTCAGGCTCAGCTGTTGTTAATGTACTGCTCAGGCTCAGCTGTAGTTAATGTACTGCTCAGACTTAGCTGTTGTTAATCTACTGCTCAGGCTCAGCCTTTGTTAATGTACTGCTCATGCTCAGCTGTTGTTAATGTACTGCTCAGGCTCAGCTGTTGTTAATGTACTGCTCAGACTCAGCTGTTGTTAATGTACTACTCAGGCTCAACTGTTGTTAATGTACTGCTCATGCTCAGCTAGATGTTTATATTCTTCCCAGAAACTGCAGTACACTTAGAACCCGGTGCATAATAATCTTCAATAAAAATATTTTATTTTTAGGGTTCAAAATTGATTTTGATAAGTGTTATATTTTTTTACGATTTGAAAGTAGAACCCCATCACATTTAGATACAACACTTTAACTCTTTAAGAATTACATTTTAGAGATATGAACCAATATTCGAATTTAATGAAAGTACATTTATTATATATATATATATATTACTGAATCCCATGTGGTGTATGTATAAATACGACCTTGAGTCTTGAATTTAAGGTTTATACTCTAAGATAGGTTGTAAACTGTGTGTATATTGTGCAGGACGGAGAAAAACGTGGAAACTCAGGGTACATCTCTCTCTCTCTCTATTTCTCAGCTTTAGGTTCTTTAATTCTTAATAATCCTTGTTCTCTCCTCTGTCCGTCCTGTATTTAACCCAACCCTTACCTGGTGGGGAAGGGGCGGGGGGTATGGACTAGTAGCTGGAGCAGTATTGAGCCACCCTATGGTGTTTACATGAATCTGCTCAGTTAAGGATGAACCCTGATCAGGATCACACGTGGAACAGAGCTCTCAACTCAAACAACCAAAACACGTTTTACAGCTGCTCACAGGATTTTGAGAGACTAGACAGCAGCATGGAGGATTCCTGGACCTGCTCTATTGAAGTTGGGGCAGTCGTTGACGCAAACCTTCTCCAAGATGGTCGAGTAGTAAAGAATATGCTCCGAGAGGAGAGATTAATCTTTAAGATTGATTACTGTTCTAATCTCCAGACAGAGATTAAACCTCACATGAGAAAGATAGTTGTAGATTGGATGCTGGAGGTTTGTGAAGATCAACAATGTCAACCTCAAGTCTACCATTTAGCAGTCAACTATCTTGATAGATGTCTCAGCAGAACAAATATTCCAAAACAATGTTTTCAATCTGTAGCCGCTGCTTGCCTCTTTTTATCCTCCAAGTTTTCTGAGGTCAGACCTCTTAGTTCTGAGGTTCTCTCCTTGTACACAGATCACTCTGTGAGTGTATTAGAGCTGAGAGAATGGGAGTTGAAGATTTTAAATATTCTAGAATGGGAGTTATCTAATGTTACAGTTCAATCCTTCCTTCAACATTTTAGTTCTAACCTGGACTCCAAGGTTGGCCGGCATGCTGAGATATTATCAGCAGCTGCTACTACAGAATATAAATATTTGCTGCTCAGACCCAGTCTTGTTGCTGCGGCTTCCTTGTCAGCTGTTTGTAGAGCAGCTTCTCTTCATTATAATATTCCAACAGCTCTTCTTAAAGATGAAGAACAAATCAGATTTATTGAAGATCATCTTCTCTCTTTACTCCTTACTCTCTCCAACCTTGGATCCAACCCCAACCTTGCTCAACCCTCTTCTCAGAAGCTGGCAGGTTCTAAACCTAGAGAAGGTACTCTTACACCTACAGATTGTCATCAGGTCTCAGCTTTTGTTGGAGCATACTCCAGATCATCATCTTCATCAACATCCTCGTCATCATCATCGTCATCATCATCATCATTGTCATCACCTGAAACATCCTTGCCTCCGTTCCACACAGTTTCATCACGTTCCTTTTATTACAACACTGCGTGTGTTTGATTTTGATAAAAATGAAAATTTTTAGAAAATTTAATAAATTTTGAATTAATGTACTTTTCCTGTAATTAGTGTGAGTACTTGACTAATGACCTAGAGGCAATTATATAGGAGAATATTTAGGTCATTATTGGAAGTCAACATAGATAGATAGATAGATATGGATAGATACAGACAAGGTTATAATGCAAGGAAAGTTGATTGCAGTTGCGTATACTCTTCGCACATATTGAAACGAGTTCACTCTGGGCGGAATTTGCAAACAAGAACAAGAAATCAATGTTTGTGTAGTATCCGAGGAGGATAAAAGCATTGAATTTTGATAATTTTGATAATTCACATAATAGTTTCCTATGACCAAAATATTTCATTGATTTTTTAAGTGAAAGATGGATCCCATGTCAGGCTGTGACATCCGTCTTGTGTTTACATTAGCGCCCAGAGACAGTACACTGCAGTACAAAAGATGCGTACACTTCTGAAATAACTTTCCTTGCATTATGATCTTGGATACAGATAGATAAATAGATAGATAGATAGATAGATAGATAGATAGATAGATAGATAGATAGATAGATAGATAGATAGATAGATAGATAGATAGATAGATAGATAAATAGATAGATAGATAGAAGAGAAAGAAAGAAAGAAAAAAGATTGATAGATAGACTGGTAGACAGATGTGTAAATTATATAGTTGGGTAAATAGGTATCTATAACAACTTGATAAGCAAAAAGAATGGACAAATAGATTGATTAATAGATGACTTAAATTTACAATAATACTGCTTTATAAATTTAGCCTTGCTTGGTTTACATCCAAATGATGTCATAATTTTGCATCTTAATTCGTAGTTCAAACCTAACTTCAACCAAAGAAATTTCTGAAAATCATAATTTGTTCACGCTTTCTTACCAAATCCTAGCCAAAACATATCGATTCATAATAAAAACGAAACATCAAATAAAAGTTTGAAAACACATTTTTCTAAAACATGTATATTTGATGATATCATGACATAATATTTGTTTCCATACTGACCCTACAAGACAACTCAGTAAATATAGATCTTTAAAACGTTTTATATTTCTCAACTGAATCCTAATAAATTTGTCTACAATACTGCATATTATGTTCAACCAACATACATAGCCGGCCACACCCTTTAAGATTTAGCCACACTCATAGCCGATTGAGACTTATCTATTCCTTTTTTACATTCAAAAATAAATAGATAGCTAACTACCAATGCACATGCCTACCTAGCTATCTGACTATATATCTGACTACCTCTTTATCTAACTACTTATCTACCTGACTACCTAGCTATCTGACTATCTATCAATCTGACTACCTCTATATCTGTCTACAAAGCTATCTGACTTCCTGTAGAAAATATAGAGGCCCCATAGTAAATTACGTTGTACATTGTAAATATAGCTAAATGTGTCCTTTAGTAAATACGTAAATCATGTATTGCGATTAGCCCAATCAATACACGTAGATATATATAACTCCCTCATACCCATATTGTGATTGCTTAACTACGTTATATATAACAGTGCATAATTTGGACTTTTTAAGTTTCTTATTTTAAACCGGACCCATCAATGGTCAATGCAAACGTCTTCCCTATGTGTATGTCGATAATTTTCCGCTTAATAATCGTAGATTTACATGAAATTAGAAAATAAATGGTAGGTTGGAACCTTTTTAAATGTACAACCTTTCTATGTACTACTGCAACCTTTTAAACAGTGCAGGTGCTACTACTATTTAGTTCTTCTATACTACTTACTGCTAATAATGCTACTTTTTCATAGTGATATACAAAAGCTACTTATGAATACTTGCATACTACTGCTACTACTACTTCTACTACTTCTAATATTACTGCTACTGCTACTACTACTGCTACTGCTACTACTACTGCTACTACTGTTACTACTACTGCTACTACTGCTACTACTACTGCTACTACTGCTACTACTGCTGCTATTGCTACTACTGCTACTACTGCTACTACTGCTACTACTGCTACTACTGCTGCTACTACTTCTACTACTTCTAATATTACTGCTACTGCTACTAATACCACTACTACTTCTACTACTTCTAATATTACTGCTACTGCTACTACTACTGCTACTGCTACTACTATTGCTACTACTGCTACTACTACTGCTACTACTGCTACTACTACTGCTACTACTGCTACTACTGCTACTACTGCTACTACTGCTACTACTGCTAGTACTACTACTACTGCTACTTTTTCTACTACTGCTAATATTACTGCTACTACTACTGCTACTGCTACTACTGCTACTACTACTACTACTGCAACTACTGCTGCTACTGCTACTGCTATTAATACTTCTACTGCTAGTTCTGCAACTACTACTGCTACTACTACTGCTGCTACTACTTCTACTGATACTACTACTGCTACCACCTTATAAGAAAGTTATATAATAAACCTATTAACTGCATAACTCTATCCTATACCTTACAATTAGCCCCGAATCCGTCCCTGAGGCTTAGCGTGGGTGGTGCAGGTACAAACTCAATTAATATGTAAGACATATAAACAGATAAATGGACATACATCTAGATGCGTATAGAGAGATAAACAGATAGATAGATAGTCATATAGATAGAAAGACAAATAGATAGAGAGTCAGAACTCAGAACTCAGATTCATAAGTATGTCAGATGGATACGTAGTCAGATAGCTAGGTAGTCAGATAGATAGGTAGTTAGATAGCTAGGTAGTCAGATAGATAGGTATTCAGATAGATAGGTAGTCAGATAGATAGGTATTCAGATAGATAAGTATTCAGATAGATAGGTAGTCAGATAGATAGGTAGTTAGATAGCTAGGTAGTCAGATAGATAGGTAGTCAGATAAATAGGTATTCAGATAGGTAGGTAGTCAGATAGATAGGTATTCAGATAGATAAGTATTCAGATAGATAGGTAGTCAGATAGATAGGTGGTCAGACAGATAAGTAGTCAGATAGATTGGTAGTCAGATAGTTAGGTAGTCGGATAAATAGGTTGTCAGATAGATAGGTAGTCAGATTGATAAGTAGTCAGATATATAGACAGGAAGTAAGATATCTATTTAGTCAAATAGATAGGTAGTTAGATACATAGGTAGTCAGATAGATAAGTAGTCAGATAGATAGGTAGTCAGATAAATAGGTAGTCAGAAAGATAGGTAGTTAGATAGACAGGTAATCAGATTGATAAGTAGTCAGATAGACAGGGACTTCGATTGGTAGGTAGTCAGACAGATAGGAAGTCAGATAGATGTTTCAAAGAGAACCAAATTACTCTCTTGGCAGTAATCAAATCGGAGTCTCTATATCAACTAAGTATATTTCTTCAGTTTATATTATAAATGGGTCTTAACAATGTAATTACACTTGCCAGCGTTAAGGAAGCATCAAAAACTTTCTTTAATACAGATTGTCGGGTTATAAACCATGCTGTAAATATTTGGAAGGGATCGAGTGGAAGGAAGCTTATTTCAGATATTTTATTCCCAAATTCTAGGAAAATCAAAACAAAAAAGTTACGAGGAACCCCGTTGAGAATGGTTTTGATTAAATGCTTTTGAAAGAGGTAAAAATAAGTAGAACTGATATTTTCATATATTTATGTATTTTTCATTCTATGCCCACAAAACCCCCTTTAAATTTCTCATTGGACGAAATCTGAATACATCAAAAATGCAAAAATTGATTCTTTTCTTACGGTCAACTAAGATCTAATAAGATTTAATTATAATGTAAATCAAAGATCTGAGCCCGCGATTTAAATCGCGGGCTCTGGTTTGAAAAAATAAATTATGAATTATGAGAAAACTTGAATAATATGAATCCGAGAACACAATATGTAGTGCAGGCATTTCAGAATATCTCTTTTTTATTTTTCAACATTCACAGAAAGATAAAAAGATGAAAATGTAAAAAACATGATGCAGCAAGTACATGATGCAGCAAGTACATGATGCAGCAAGTACATGATGCAGCCAGTACATGATGCAGCAAGTACATGATGCAGCAAGTACATGATGCAGCAAGTACATGATGAGGCAAGTACATGATGCAGCAAGTATATGATGCAGCAAGTACATGATGCAGCACTACATGATGCAGCAAGTACATGATGCAGCAAGTACATGATGCAGCAATTACATGATGCATCAAGTACATGATGTACCAAATACATGATGTAGCAAGTACATGATGTAGCAAGTACATGATGCAGCAAGTACATGATGTAGCAAGTACATGATGCAGCAAGTACATGATGCAGCAAGTACATATGCAGCAAGTACATGATGCAGCAAGTACTTGATGTAGTAAATACGTACATGATGCAATAAGTACATGATGTAGCAAATACATGATGCAGCATGTACATGATGTAGCAAGTACATGATGCAGCAAGTACATGATGCAGCAAGTACATGATACAGCAAGTACATGATGCTGCAAGTACATGATGTAGCAAATACATGATGCAGCAAGTATATGATGTAGCAAATACATGATGCAGCAAGTACATGATGCAGAAAGTACATGATGCAGCAAGTACATGATGCAGCAAGTACTTGATGCCGCAAGTACATGATGCAGCAAGTATACGATGCAGCAAGTACATGATACAGGAAGTACATGATGTAGCAAGTACATGATGCAGCAAGTACATGATGTAGCAAATACATGATGCAGCAAGTACTTGATGCCGCAAGTACATGATGCCGCAAGTACATGATGCCGCAAGTACATGATTCAGCAAGTATATGATGCAGCAAGTACATGATGCAGTAAGTACATGATGCAGCAAGTACATGATGCAGCAAGTATATGATGCAGCAAGTACATGATGCAGCAAGTAAATGATGCAGCAAGTACATGATGATAAATCCTAAACTATACTTCCTGCTTAACCCTAGCGGTATCTTTACACTAGGATGCTTATATGTAAA